GCTACCTTCAGCTCACCAAGAAGGTTAGTAAGATTGAATTTCGGATTGACACCATCACCGCCAAGGCCCTGGAGGGAGAAGAAGGTAGGCCGAGGGCTGAGCCTGCCGAGGAGACAGAAGACTTGATACTCGATCCGGCCAAGCCGGAGAGAGTCCTGAAGATTGGAGCCAAGCTCCCCGAAGACTTGAAGGCTGGCATCACCGAAGCCCTCCGCACCTACTCCGTTGTTTTTGCATGGGGGCCGGAGGATATGCCAGGAATTGACCGAAGGGTCATCACCCACCGCCTTGCGGTGGACCCTTCGGCCAAACCAGTGCAACAGCGGAGAAGACCCCTCTCGGCCGAGAGAAGGGAGTTCGTGAAGAAGGAGGTATCTATGCTCCTCTCCATCAAGCACATCAAAGAGGTGAAATACCCTTCTTGGCTGGCAAACGTAGTCCTCGCACAGAAGCCTCCTACCTTCCGCATGTGCGTGGACTACACGGATCTGAATAAGGCGTGCCCCATGGACCCCTTCCCACTGCCAAACATTGATCAACTAGTAGATGAGACCGCGGGATGCGAAATCATGTCATTCCTCGACGCATTCCGCGGATATCATCAAATCTACATGCATGAGGAAGACGCTGAAAAAACTGCCTTCATGACACCCGAAGGCATCTTCTGTTATCTTGTGATGGCCTTCGGCCTCAAAAATTCAGGCGCCACCTACACACGCATGGTGGCTAGGGTCTTTCAAGCTGTCCTAGGACGCACCATGGAAGCTTACGTTGACGATATGATCGTCAAAAGTAAGAAGGCAAGCACTCACGCCGACGACCTCCGGGAGATTTTTGCCATCATGCAAAAATTCAACCTCCGGTTGAATCCAAAGAAATGCACCTTCGGCGTACAAGGTGGAAAATTCTTGGGCTATATGGTAAGCCGAAGGGGTATCGAGGCCAACCCCGAGAAGATTCAGGCCATCATCGACATGGAGCCCCCACGCAACGTCAAAGAAGTTCAGCGGCTGACGGGTCGCCTGGCGGCCCTCAACCGATTCCTCTCTAAGTCAGCCGAGAGGGCCCTCCCCTTCTTCCAGGTCATGAGAAAGACGGCGGGCTTTCAATGGACATCTGAATGTCAAGAGGCCTTCGACGAACTCAAGAAGTACCTCTCTTCTCCCCCAGTACTCTCCAAACCGAAGGTGGGGGAGACTTTATACTTATACCTCGGTGTTAGCCCTGCGGCTATCAGCTCAGTACTGATCCGAGAGGAAGACGGCATCCAACATGCCATCTTCTACGTCAGCAAAACCCTCCGGGAGGCCGAACTCAGGTATTCTCCCGTCGAGAAGACAGTGCTAGCGATCGTTTGGACCGTCAAGAAGCTTGGCCACTACTTTCAAGCTCATCCAGTCCAGGTGCTCACTCATCAACCCCTCGGCCCCCTAATGAGGAGTCCCACTAGCTCCTCTCGGATGGTAAAATGGGCCATCTTCCTCAGCCAATACAACATAGACATCCGTCCGAGGCCTGCCATTAAGGGCCAAGCCCTGGCAGACTTCGTGACGGAATGCACCGCAAGATCAGCAACTGACGAGGAGCCCTCGTCACCCCTCGATGAATGGTGGACACTTTATACCGATGGCTCCTCGGCCATCAAAGCATGCGGAGGGGGAGTAGTCCTGATCACACCCGAAGGCTTCCGCGCCTATTATGCCATCCGCTTCTCCTTCAAAGTCTCCAACAACGAAGCCGAGTACGAAGCCCTCCTCTGTGGCCTTCGGCTGGCAGCAAATCTGAAGGCTAAGATGATCCACGTCAAGTGTGACTCCAAACTTGTTGTGGGCCAAATTTCCGGGGAGTACGAAGCCAAAGAAGGGAGGATGAAACAATACAAAGAAGCGGCTAAGGAGTTGCTCAAAGTGTTTGAGGCACATTCTCTGACCCAAATACCGAGGGCTCAAAACTCCGAGGCCGACATTTTATCCAAGCTTTCGGATGAATCCCCCGAGCACCTCTCCAAAATTGCAAGAATTGAGGAACTCAACCTCTCAAGCATCCACGCAAGCCCCGTCATGAATATTAACCTAAGACCGGAGGATTGGATCTCCGACATCGTCGCCTTCATCACCACCGGGCAACTACCCCAGGACGAGGCCCGCGCCAGGTTAGCTAAGCTGAGGGCTCCCAGTTACACCCTCGAAAATGGGAGACTTTACAAAAGATCTTACAACGGCACCCTCCTTCGATGCCTTCATCAAGATGAAGCCGAAGTCGCCATGGAGGAAGTGCACAGTGGCACTTGCTCAGCTCACCAGGGACCCTTCTCCATGTCCCGAAGGCTCATAGTACAGGGCTACTTCTGGCCCACGATGGCTAGAGATTGCGCGGATCTGGCCCGAAGGTGCACCGCTTGCCAACACTTTCAGAAGGCCCCCGGCAGACCAGCAGTCAACTATGCTCCCATCAGCACCGCTATACCCTTCTCCAGATGGGGTATTGACCTAGTCGGCCCTCTGCCGAGGGGTACCTCCAACAATAGGTATATCATTGTGGCCATTGACTACTTCACCAAATGGGTAGAGGCCGAACCCCTCGCTAGCATCACGGAGGCCCGGTGCCGTCACTTCGTCCTCAAGAACATTCTCACAAGATTTGGCGTCCCCCAACAAATCATCTCTGACAACGGGACTCAATTCGAAGCGGCCCCCTTCTGTGCCCTCCTTGAGGCTTGGGGCATCAAACACACATTCTCTTCCGTTGCCTACCCTCAGGGCAACGGACAAGTAGAAAATGCCAACCGCACCCTCCTCGAAGGGTTGAAGAAGAAGCTGGAAGCCGAAGGGGGAGGCTGGGTAGAAGAGCTCCACAACATCTTATGGGCCTACCGCACCACCCCTCGGCGTGCAACAGGTGAAACCCCCTTCTCCCTATGCTATGGCTTTGAGGCTAAGGCTCCCACAGAAGTAACTCTTCCCACCCGAAGGGTTGAGCAATATGAGCCCGAGGCAAACGAAGCCAACATGGCCCTCGACCTTCATCTCATCTCAGAACGCCGAGAGCAAGCTTTTCTCAGGGCCGAAAACTATAGGAGACAAGTCAAAGGATACATCGACGCCAAGGTCCGCTCCCGGGAATTCCAGGTGGGAGACTACGTTCTCCGACGAAGGGAGGCCAGTCTACCCACCGAAGGAGGAAAGATGGCACCCAAGTTTGAAGGCCCCTACATCATCTCAGCCATCATCAAACCGGGGACATACAAGTTAAAACGTCCTAATGGGACAGAGATTCCTAGACATTGGAATGTGCACCACCTAGTGAAGTTTTACCAATGAGTGGCCAAGCCCTCACCCTCAACAAGGGTAAACATCAATGGCCCAAGGCCCCATCTGTTTTTGAAGAATAATCAAAAGGCCAAGCCTTCACCACCTACATATTATACAAGAGGCCCAAGGCCCCCTCATCTCTTCACCATAAAAGGCCCAAGGCCACTCCCTCTTATGAGGGGGAACAACAATTTAGGTACCACGTACCAAGTGTATGGGCCACCCCCATCACTCTTTGAAAACACCAAGTGTTTTCAAAGACTTTTACATATTCTCCCAAAAAAAAAAAAAAAAAAAAAAAAAAAAAAAAAACCGGGGGGTGCAACACCCCTCGGCTCCGGCTGGTACCAAGTGCCCCCGGCTATTTGTGTTCCACACACAAATAAAACCCTTCCCAGGAACGCTTTCCGCGCCATCCCCCAAGGGGAGGCAGGCAACGGACCATGTCCCGGGCCCAGGATTCGACTTCCACAAACGAAACGCTCCCCGCGCTTTCCCCCAAGGGGAAGCAGGCAACAGACCATGTCTCGGGCTGAGGGGACGACTTTCAAAACCGAGGCGCTTTCCGTGCTATCCCCCAAGGGGAAGCAGGCAACAGACGATGTCTCGGGCCGAGGAAACGACCCTCAAACCCTTCGGGATATCGGAAGGTCATTCCCGAAGGGGGAGCCAACGGTTTATTCCGTTGCCTCCCATATAGGCCAAGCCTTTCCTAGAAACCAAGTTTCTAGACGCCTCTCCTACACCATCTAAAAAAAAAAAAAAAAAAAAAAAAAAAAAAAAAAAGATGTGTAGGGGGGAAGGAACTCCCCGGATACTATTCTCCCCGGAGGCTCAACACTTCGGATATACATTCCCGAAGGCTCCTACAGATTCACAAGAAAATCTGGCAAACAACAAGTCATCCGACCACAAGGCCGAAGGCTTCACTGCGTAAAACTTTGGAGTACAAGAACTCCACCGAAGGCATAAGAAGAGGGCTTACTATCAAAGCTTCACCTAAATTTGGCTCGAATCAAAGACGACACGTTACATACCGAAGGATACACAAAATTCTAAGGCAAGCCGAATCTATTATCTACACAAATCGGAGGCCTCAGGCCGAAGGCAGGATGTCACCAGGCTCATTCGAGGATGGGAAACACATCTCAGAATTTCACTAAGTCCGTAATCTCGAACCTCCCCTCGGCAACCATATGTACCGGGGGGCTCAGAGCAGTTCCCATACCGGAAGGTTCACTACAACTACTATTGGAATATTGTGGAAATTTGACTAAGTCCACAATTGGAGACCCTTCAGGAGAGAACAGGGATGCCCTCTCCACTTACAGGGTCGCGGCCGGTGGCCCCCCGAACTACTTGGCAGTAACCTAAAGCTACACTGCTAAATCCAATACCTCACCACCGAAGGCATACGCTGGGATCTTACTTAAGGAACTTTCCAAGCCCCCGGTGATTCTACTCTACATCCGAAGGGTTCTTATCAGGTTTTACTTGGAAAATTTTCTAAGTAAACAATCACAAACCCCCCGGCTATTCTACTCTACATCCGAAGGGTTCTGATCAAGTTTTACTTGGAAAATTTTCCTAAGTCCACAAACTGATGGCCTTCGGAAAGCCAAACAAGAGAAGGAAGAGAATGCATCCATCCAAGTGAAGAAAGGCATTCATACATAAACAGGAATCAAACACAGGAGGCATTCATTCAGAAAAAGCCCGGAGGCAGAACATTAATCACCATAAGAATTTTAAGTACAAAGGTGTTCATTACAAGGCGTGGCCGAAGCCGGTAACTACGAGCTATTACATGGATAATATTTGTAAATTTCTAAGCTTGGACTCCTCCCGGTGCATCCTCCTTCGGCTTCGAAGCCGCATCATCCTCGGCCGCCTCGTCGTCAGAATCGCATCGGGCCAGCTCCGAGTCCTCGAGCAGCTCCCTCTCTTCACCCTCGGGCAGGGGAATCCGAACATCTGGTAGGAGCGGGGGGAGGCCGTGATCTTCTGGTTTGAACTCCTTCGGGTCTACGCCAAGGTGGCGGGCAAGCCTCCGGTACAACATAGCCTGCGTGAAGTACTGCCCGCCTTCGTAGAAGCTTTTGCCCTTTAGGGCGAGCCACATTGCACCGGGGCCCTTGACCCAACTATCTACCGAGGTTTCTACCACGGAAGCCCTCCATTGCTCCCGGCCCTCGGATTTCCACCCCTCCGCAAGGAAGAGGGCAACAGCATCTTCTTTGGCCTTGGCAACAGCCTCAGCCTTAACTTCCTCAGCCCTCTCAGCGGCTATCCTGGCGGCCTCAGCGGCGGATCTCTCGGCCTCGGCTTTCCCCTCGGCCCGGGCTTCCTCCTTGGCTGCCTCCAGCTTCTGTTCGGCTTGCCGAAGGGCTTCCTCCAGACTGGCCAGCTGCCGAATGGCCTCAGTATTATTGGCCACCAGCTTCCTCGTGACCTCATCGGATTGGGCCTTCTCGAGGCGGTGCTGTTCAGCCCTCCTCACGAGCTCCCCGAAGGCCAAACTAGCCTGCAAGCACATAAGGGTGCACCTGGGATCAGACTACGCAAAGGAAAGGGAGCGCGATAAAAAGAAATTTCAAGGTCCGAAATACTTACAGTAGCCGAGGCCTGAAGGGCCTTGTGCTCGAGGGCTTCGTCCCCGAATCGGCCGAGGGTGGTCCGATCCAGGGGGGGAGTGGCGCCCCTCAAGAATTCCCTCGGGTCGAGGGTGCCATGTAAGATAGCAGTCCCCTTCTTAATAGGGAACTGCACCTTCTCAAGGGGCCAAGCCCCTTCATCCAAGTCCGCCAGGGGCAGGGAGCCCGAGGGCTTGTCGGAAGGATGGTCGTCGATGATCACTACTGGGGGAGCCTTCTGTTCGGCATCCCCCCTCCTCTGTTTCTTCTCCGGGAGCGTGGTCCCCTTCCCGGTATTTTTTCTTTTGAGCTCCGGGACGTGGGAGCCTTCAGTAACAACACCAGCACCGGCATCCTTCGAGGGCCCCTCGCCCTCAGGTTTCTTTTTGGCATCCGGCTTCTGGAGAAATTCCTCCACAGCTCTCTGATTGGAAGGCCCCTCAGCCTTCTTCTTCTTCTCTTTGGCCAGCTTATTGGAAAGTCTGGCGAATGCTTTCGGGTCCATAATGTCGCCTGCCAAAACAAGGAAAGGGTTAGAATCACAACGGATCAAAGAAAATATGCTAAGTACAAAAACGAGGGCCCTCAGGAACAACCTCCGGCATTTCGATACCCTCGGTCAATCTCGGGGTATTTTTCGTCCGTCTCCCCCGGAAGGCGGTAACGCCGGAAGCCCAGCAAGTACAGCTCCTCAGGGAGCGTCGCCTCCTTGATGGTGATTACTTTGTCGGAACCCGGAGGCTTCTCGATGAGCTTCTTCCCAGCCTTGTCGAGGACTGCATTGCCCACCTTCGGGTGCCTCTTAAAATGATTGCGCAGGGCCCCCGGGAATGGGTTCTCGGCCACCCGGATGTAGCAGAACTTCTCTTTCCACTCTTTGTGGGATGAGGGGGTCTCGGAGAAGAGTTTCCACGCCGGAACCTGCTGGAGATTCGCATAGCCCCCGGCATGCGAATGCCCTCCCCGGCACAAGTTGAAGGAGAGAAAGAACTGGTCTAAAGTGGCCTCCACCTTCCGGCTCCGGCAGAGAGATAGGAACCCCGCCAGGTAATAGTGGCTGTTCGGGGTGAGCTGGCAGGGGGCCAGTTTCACGTATCTCAGGTACTCCAGGACGAAGCGATGGAGCGGGAATCTGAGCCCAAGCTCCACCGACAACATATGCACTGAGAAACACCCCTCAGGCGGGTGGGAAAGCAAGGCATCAGGCCCCGGCTCCACCACCTGCGCCGAAGGCCCCACCAGGATCTGGAGAGCATTATAATCAGCACTCGTAGCCGTGGTCTTCACCTCGAGGGCAGTGGTGTCCAGATAGGAGTGGCCCTCGGGAATCCCAACTGGCCGTCCCGCGTCGACGGCTGCTTGCTTCTTCTTTGGGGCAGCCCTCGCCTTCTTCTTCTTTCTGCCCTCGGCTACCCGAAGGGGTTGGACATCTAACGGCCGAGAGGTGCTCGCCTCACCAAGTCCCCGTGAGGGCATGACGGCAACCGTTACCCGACGGCGCTCCTTCTCCTCCTCCTCTTCAGCCACTTGGAGGGCGATGGCCATCTCTTCATCCTCCGCCACTTGCTCAAATTCCTCTGCCTCCATTTCTACCCGGAGGCAACTCTGTACCTCCTCAGCCACGGCAAGATCGTTGTCCATCGACGGCTGCTCACTCGAGGACTCCACATCCGAGTAGCTCTCCTTCTGCACCGACGGCTCCCTCGAGATATCTTGGGAATCGCTTTGTGAGGACATAATTCCGGAGGAAGGATAGGAGTTTGGTAGAGAGAGGCTACTTAAATGTTCTAACCGAGGGCTCCTAAGACCTCTAACACAAGATCTAAGGGAGAAAAGCAAAGTATGCTAGGAAAGCAAAGAACAAGGAAGAACTGACCTCAAGGAATCGAATTCGATCGAAGGTGATTGCTTATCTCTCTAGAAAATTGGCCAGAGCTTCGCTAGAACAATGAAACGCACAAGGAAAATAGCACGGAGCGTTGGGGTATTTATAGGCTCGTTGCCTCGATACATGGGCCTCGATTTGAAAAGCCCATCATTACGGGCCGCCGGTTCGACCAATGGATGACTGCCGCTCCCTTCAGCCAGTGGGGAGACGCCACGTCAACCCTTCTTCCAACGGCTATATTACAACGACTATATTCCGGTTACACTAGGGGTGCCCCCGAGTGGTAGCCTTCGGCTATCGCTCACCACACCTTTCTGCCGGCAAATTTCATCAAACTCCTTCGAGCTTGCGACAGCATAAGCCCCCGACTTGTCAGAACTATCACCCCTCGAGTTCTCATCGACTTATTATAACTCCTTCAGCCCGAACTTGCCTTCGGCCTAAAGGAGTGGGGGACTGGGATACACCCCTCGGGGATCATACACAACAAAAATTTCTTCATGCGCATACGGCCTCCGGGCAAACATCACAATACATGCGGAAAATACATCTATGCTTCCCTTAGAGAACCCTCGACATGTGAGGGACTGAGGGGAGCCCCCGGCAAACATACGAAGGTCATGAATACCTTCCTTCAGAAAACCCTCGACCTGTGAGGGACTGAGGGAAGCCTTCGGCAAATTAGCAGAAAACAAGTTCCCCAGCAAAGACACCCAGCGAGATGATGGAGCCTCCAGAAGAATCAACACATCTACTCCTTTTCCCTCAAGTACCTTTCGGCAAAAGGAGTGAGGGACTCCTGATGGAGTATATGGCCCAGGAACCCCCGGCCCATAGACTCCTACTCCTCCTACACAAGTCCATTAAGCCCAGAGAACATCTCAGGCCCAAATACAACGGCTCAAGCCTCAAAGTAGCCCAGAATACACACTGGGGTGCCTTCGGCCTCCTTGGCCGAAGGCTCCAAAACTCACAGGATAGACTTCTCTGGCATAGGAAGCTGCTGGGAGGAAACGGGCGAAGACATGAGCCTTCGGCATTCTCATGCCCTCGGCATCAGGGGAAGCCTTCGGCTGAACCGAACCTTCGGCTACACAAGGAGCCCTCGGCTACACGAGGAGCCCTCGGCTACACAAGGAGCCCTCGATTACACAAGGAACCTTCGGCTACACAAGGGCCTTCGGCTTAACAGGCTCAATCATCGAAGATTCCTTTTAGAGACAGCCAACCACCGCATTTAATACCACGTCACATCCGCCAACCGCATTCAATGCGGTGGACGTACCACTGCCGGTGCCAACCGGCTGATGTGACCCTTCGGCCGTTGGATTACTGACACGTGTCCTCTCATCGCATTTATTGCTGCTATAAATAGCAGCCCTTATTCTCCTTATAAACCACGCTGAGTTCATTTAATAAAATCGACTCTCTCTCCTCCTATTTACTCTGACTTTTCTCTAGTTATTCCCGCAATAACCCCTCGGATAAGATACCCCCCGGGTAGACCATCCATCAGAGTTGTACCCTGAAGATAACGGAGAATCCGCTTAACGACTTGCCAGTGTTTAAGTGTTGGACGATGCATGAATTGAGCAAGTTTGTTGACAGCAAAACTAATATCTGGTCTTGTGAATGCTAGGTATTGCAAAGCACCAAGAGCAGTCCTATAGATGGTGATATCACATAGTGAGGAGCCATCATGAAGAGAAAGATTCACTGGTAGAGATAGGAGTTGGTGTGGGAGCGGCAGAGTCCATTTGTAGACGGTGAAGGAGATCACGTGTATACTTATGCTGAGTGAGAAAGGGACCATGACGGGTACATGTAGCTTCAAGACCCAAAAGATAGGATATAGGACATGATTTGTCCATCAGAAGGAGGATGACCGATGGTAATCAAATCATCTATGAAGCCACGCATGATGGTGAAATATTCCATCGCTGGTTTTCCAGCATTCTTAGTTCGTTGTAGCAAGGCTGTTGAGTAGAGAGAGCATACAGGTTGTGGACTTGTTTGCAAAGCTAGATTCTAACTTCTGCCACGCATTGGCAGAAGAGGTGCAGCTGTTGATAATTGGACTGACAGTATTTCAGTATTTGATACGGTGGATTGAATAGCAAGTAGGACAAGCCGATCTTGCCTAGTCCAGAAATGATATGTAGGTGAAGATTTGTCGGGTTTCTGATTGCTGCCATCAACAAATCCTAGGAGATCATATCCAAAGAGTAAATTAGTGATTTGGGCCTTCCATGAAGAGTAGTTGGAGCCGTCTTGTGAGAGTTTCAGAGGGATTTGAGAGGAAGAATTTGTGAAATAATGGGAACCGTAGCTCCAATAGGAGCTCTAGTAGGTATATTTATAATAAATAAGAGTTTCCAAAAAACACAAAGTTTCCTAAATTATATTAACTATTACACCCCCTCAAACTGTGCGTGAGATACAACGCGCAGGTTGTCCTTTAAAAAATAAAAGTGTTGACTAGATAGACTTTTAGTAAAAATGTCTGCGAGCTGAAGCCGTGTAGGAACATATTTCACTAACAAATCACCATGAGCAACTCTCTCACGAACAAAGTGATAATCAATGTGAATATGCTTGCTTCGAGCATGCTGTACTGGATTGGTTTTCAGATAAGAGGCAGATATATTATCACAAAACAGCTGCACTGGATCTTGAACTTCAAAACGAAGCTCAAACAGGACAGATCGGATATGGAGCGTGTCCTGGACGGTGTAGGCAATGGCTCTATACTCTGCTTCTGTAGAAGATTTAGATACCGTAGGCTGCTTCTTGGACTTCCAAGACACAAGATTAGGACCCAAGAAAATAGCAAATCCAGTAGTGGATCGTGAAGTATCCGGGCAGCTTGCCCAATCGGCATCTGAGTAAGCTAAAATACTTATGGGACGTGCACACTGTTGTAGCCATAAACCATGATCAACAGTGCCCTGTAAATATCGAAATATGCGCTTGACAGCAAGCATGTGATTGGTACGTGGGGCATGCATAAATTGAAACACTAAATGAACTGCATAAGTAATATCTGGTCTTGTAAATGTTAAATATTGCAATGCACCTACCATACTACGATACTCAGTAGCATCAACAAGAAGTTCACCATCAGTGAGTGAGAGAGTAGTGCGAGTAGCAACCGAAGTACGAACAGACTTGAGAGTGTGTAAGTGAAAACGAAGAAGAAGATCAGACACATACTTTTGCTAGGACAAAAACAACCCATTAGATTTTCGAGTAACCTGAACACCCAAAAAATAATGGAGATCGCCAAGGTCCTTCATGGCAAATTGAGATGCAATACAACTTATAAAGGAAGACACAAAAGATGGGGAATTACCAGTAATAATGATATCATCCACATATAATAATAAATAAATGACGGACTGACCCTGACTATAAATGAACAAGGAATTATCAGACTTACTACATACAAAATTACGAGTAAGTAAGAAACTACTGAAACGATGAAACCACGCCCGCGGGGCCTGCTTAAGACCATAAATAGCCTTCCGCAAATGACACACATGATGAGGATATTGAGGATGTATAAAACCCCGCAGTTGACGCATATAAACCTCTTCAGTAAGATAGCCATGAAGGAATGCATTTTTCACATCTAACTGACGCATAACCCACCCAAAAGAAATGGCAAGAGTAAGAACAATACAAATAGTGGTGGGTTTAACAACGGGACTAAATGTTTCAGAAAAATCCACCTCAGCCTGCTGATTAAACCCCTGAGCAACTAAACGTGCCTTATGACGCTCAATGGTTCCGTCGGAATGAAATTTAGTTTTATAAATCCATTTAGACCCAACCACATTTTTAGTGTTATCAAACGGAACTAAATCCCAAGTATTATTAGAAATAAACGCATTAAATTCATCTGCCATTGCCTCACGCCAAACTAAATGTTTCTGTGCCTCAGAATAACAAGTGGGATCGGTTGTACTAACAACTGTGTTTAAAGTAAAAATTGATTTGGGTTTACAAATCCCGGACTTAGCCCAGGTTTGCATGGGATGGACATTCATTCGGGGAACCATAGAACTAGAGATAGGAGGAGAAACCATGCTGGAAACACAAGA